TATTCTGATTAAAAAATATTTTAAAATGGTCTATAAAACTACATCAACAAAATAGGACAAGATATCCAGTCACTGGATTTTTAAATACCCGTAGTAGATAAATGCTAAAAACCACAAAGTACTTAAAACATAAATAAAAGAAGGAATGCCAAGAAGGAGGAGTGAGTGAAGACGAAAGGAAAAGGAGGAAGGGAAGTGAAAAGAGGAAGGGAAAAGTGGAATGAAGGAAGAAAAGGGAGGAAAGAAATGAGTACAAGAAGATAAGAAAGGAAAGAAAACTGAATCTGGAGTCCTGTCATTTAAACTTCAGAGAAAGCATGGTGGGATTTATTTAATCCCAGTGCTAAGGATTCTGATTGCAAGACTGCCTTTGCTAAAGAAAATCTTGGGTTATTAAGATATTCAGGATGAGACCATCGACACAGTGATTACAGTGTTTGTATCTTCAAGAACAGACCAGGAAATGGCCTCCCATTAGGTGCCTCTGTTTTATGTTGCTTTCCATTTAGAGCTGGGTGGAAGACCCAAACAAAACCTTCATGTCTATCCTGTTTCCCAAGTATTCTGTGAGGCAGGAGTACCTGTAGATCCAATCCAGTCTACAGGCCAGAGTACCTGTAGATCCAGTGTTGGGAGTTCATGTCACATGGCCAGGCAGAAGAAGGAGCAGGTATAGGACATCGCCCGGATGTTATGAATCACCGTTCCTGAATAAGGATGAGCATGGAGGAAGAGATGATTGCAGTTATGCCTGATGTGATAAGGTGGTGGAAGCCAGCTTGCTCTGAATTATGACTCTTTGATTAGATAGGGCCATTTTGGTGCTCTTGATTCTTTTCTGTGGAATCATTTCCTTTGGGCATGAAGAACATCTGTAGCATACTTTGTGTTGCAGTTCTGCTAGCTTGTGCATATGTGAAAATATCCTTATCTCACCCTCACATTTGAAGGATATCTGTTCCCCTCCCCTGAAGATCCTCAGCCATCATGATTTGCTTTCTATCACATAGATAAATTTGTATTTTCTAAAATTTCATGTAAATGGAAACATAATATGTATTCTTTTTTTTTTTTTTTTCTGTCTAGCTTCCTTAATGCAGCATCAAATTTTGAGATCTAGTCTTGTGCATCAATAGTTCATTCTTTTCTGTTGCTGAGTAGTATTTCATTGTATGGCAGTTTGTTTATCCCTTCACCTATTGATGGGTAATTGGGAGGTTTCCATTTTTAGCTATTACAAAGAAAGCTGCCATGAATATTTGTGTACATGGGTAGATGCTTTATTTTTCTCTTGGGTAAACACCCAACAGTTGAATGTTTATTTTCACTGAACTGCTAAACTATTTTACAAGTAGTCATACTACTTTACATTATCACTAGATGTGGTAGACAATCAGGGATACACAACTAAATAAAGCCCAACTGGCTTCCAATCTCTCTCTCCTTCAACTATTGCTAAACATAGTCACAAACTGAGTCCACAATCATGGGACATGGACTTTACTAAGTGGGCAAGGAGAAATCACTAAAGTTGTTCTGGAAGTGGGCTCAGAGAATTGTTATTTGGCAGAGAATCCTGTGACCCAGAGTACTTGGAAATAGTCTGGAGGTGGAAAGCTGTGGCTATAAGTAGGCATTTCCCTGGACTCAAAGAATTTTTTCCTTTGTGGAGAGGTATGGCCAAAGGATGACCAGAGTGGGGCCCTCTAAGGTATGGCGCTCAGGAGACCACCCCTTGCCAAGATCCAAGAACTGTAATATTCCTCTCCTTATCTATCCAAATTCTGACCACCTTCAGAATTCATCCTAAGTCATCCCTCCTACTGCATCTTCCATCACTGTGGCAGTTCTGTTTGTCTCTTTCTTCAAGACTGTTTTCTATTTACCTTTGTTTGTATTTATCACTTTCCCAACTTGTTTATAAGCTTTTGAATCCACCACTGTGTTCTTTTTTTTTCTTCATCTGTCCAGCAAAGTGCTATGATGTACACAACTGGTAAAGATGCTGGTTGAATGAAGTGCTGCAGGTTGTTGGTTGGTTTTCCTTAGTTCTTAGGTTATGGTGTTAGTTTTGAGAGATTGCCCTACATGCTTTTGCATTTACAAATATAGAACCCAGTGTATAGCTACTAATTTATTACCCAAGCTCTTCTCATCACCTTTGCTAAGCATTCATCTTTAGCTGACTAACACTATCCAAACTCCATACTTACACTGTGTTTTACCAAGCCAGGGTAAGTTTTTATCTGATCTCATCTCACCATTGTCTTTTTACATTACATTCTTAATAACTGTATTAAGTAACCCAGAAATAAAGAAGTAATTTTTTCAGGTTTCTGATTTTCCCAGCATGGGCTTTATTGCTGTCGTACTGGTCACTAGAGACTTGGCCATAAACGTTTCCCAAGTCATGTCTCAGTGTGTTCGCCTGTGCTGACCCTTCTCCCTCAGCGGCTCTCTTTCCTCTCCCTCTGGATGATCTGGGCTCTTTCAGAACTCGGTGGCAGCAGCAGTTTTCTGGAAGGCTTCTCCTTTTAAGAGATCTGAGTTAAATGTCCTACCTCTATGTTCTCTTTTTGTGTTTCATGTGTACAGCATAATGATTTGATATTTTCATGTACTGTGAAATGACTACCACAATAAGTCTAGTTATGTACATAGTTACAGATATTGTTTCCTATGATGAGAACTTTGAAGATCTACTCTTAGCACCTTGCAGATATACCACAGGGTATTACCTATAGTCACTCTACTGTACATCTTCATGACTTATTTATTTTATAACTGGACGTGTGTACCTTTAGGCCACCTTCACCCATTATGACCCCCACCACAGCCCCACCTCTGGCAACCACCTACCTGTTCTCTGAGTTTGTTTTTTGTTTTATTTTATTTTTCATATGTAAATAAGACCATACAGTATTTTTCTTTCTCTGACTTATTTATTAATGCCCTCAAGGTCCATTCATGTTGTCAAAATAGCAAGATTTCCTTTTTTCCTATGGCTGACTGATATTTCCTTCCTCTGGGTTCTTACAGTACATCCCTTTAAACCTTTCTCAGCACACTTAAGACACTAGGTAATTGTAGATTTACTTCTCTATTATCCTGTGTGAAGATAAGGACCTATCTCATCTGACTTTGTATTTCAGCATCTAGCATGATGCTTACAGCACAGTAATGTTTAGATAACTGGTCAGTGAGTCAGTGAATTAATGACTGACAAAATGGAATTCATTTTCTTCACTCTGCTCTCTCTTCACGGCTTCCCTCATTTACTTTTGTTTCCGCTCTGACTACGTTTTTGCAAGGTTATAGAAAGAATAAAATCTTTGTGACCTTTAATTAGAGTGTTCTTAGGTTTACAGTTGCTGGAAAATGGATTTTGAACCTTAGCAAACAAACTGAAAATGTTTAAATATTTGTGGGTAGGTGTGGCAGTGAAAGAGAGATTTTAATTTGTTATGAGGGTGGGTAAGGTTTTGCTCAAGAATTAGTAAGTAAGGTTTTGCTTATGTCAGTAAGGTTTTGCTCAAGAATTAGTGATCTAGACAGAGCTTCCCTATTCTAAAGGCAACAAAAGTCAGTCTGTCACACTAGATGTTAGGTAACTGATCTTTTTCAAGCCCGGAGGTCTCTTGAGATGCCCTTCATAGAAGCCAAAGATAAAAACACTTTAAAAACTCCAAGTTTTGTCCTAGCCAGTTTGGCGCAGTGGATAGAGAATCGGCCTGTGAATCAAAGGGTTCCAGGTTTGATTCTGGTCAAGGGCGCATACCTTAGCTGCAGGCTCCTCCCAGCCAGGGCCCTGGTCAGGGTTCCTGCAGGAGGCAACCAATTGATGTGTTTATCTCACAATGATGTTTCTCTATCTTTCCCTCTCTCTTCTACTCTCCCTAAAAATCAATGGAAAAGTGTTCTCCGATAAGGATTAACAACAACACACACACACACACACACACACACACACACACACACATACACACACGCATATACACAAAACTTCAAGCTTTGTTTATCCCAGATACTCTTTATATCGATATCAGGGAATATCAAAGTCCCTAATACACTGACCAGCAGTAGTAGGTACTAATGAATGTTAGTCTCTAATCCTCATTCTTCTTCCTAAAGTTCCCAACGACAATGACCTAAGTTTCCTTGAAATTTCTCTTAGGATCTGATAAGATATAGGCCCAAATGGTGTGTGCCAGTTACTAAACATGTAGACCTCTTCAGATCCCAGTAAATTAATTTTCCTCTTTGGCACTTACATTTTCTTTGAGAATGACACGCTCTTGACTGCAGTACAGCTATTGAGAATAGAGTGTTCTTTCTGAACTGAGGGCTTTCACACTCAATACATATATAGTCAGGGCCCACCCCATTGGCCCAGAGTCCTCATCAAATATTTCTTTCCTAGGAATGTTGGGAAATACTCTGTCTCTGCTTTGCTTGAGAGGGGCCGGGAACACCTCAGCAGGTCTTTTGAGCAGTATTATAGCAGACCAGCATGAATAGGAGCTGAATCTAGTGCCAGAAACTGGTTTATCAATCTTAAGATTCTTAGCAGAAATTCTCCACTTCCAATCTGAATCCAGTTAAAGTGGCAATAATTAATCTTTGTACTCTAGTGACACTGTTTACTGTGATATTAAATAGATGTTAATGCATGAAAAAGTTTTGAAAACAAAATATAAAGATAATGGAAAAATTACTGTAATGCTTACCGCTTATACCCCTAAGCATTGTAGAGGGAAGTAGAATTAAGGCCAAATGTACCATGCCTGTTTTTCAGAATTCTTCTTGCCTAAGGAAATGAAACAGGAATTGTTTGCTTCCATATCTTTCGAAGCTTGTGAGAAATGAGGCTACATTTACTGATTAAGTTTCCTGAAATCTTTGCAGTCAAATGTCCTTGAGCCCAGGACCCTTGGAGATTCCCCTAACTGCACATTGTTAATAGTGATTTACTTTAATCATTGTTTTCTTTATCTTTTCAGGAGCTTCTAAAGGCCTTTGATGATAAAATCAATGCTTTTTTGGACAATATGTTTGGACCTCGAGGTGAGTGAGTTACCCAAGAACTTAATGTGGAAGGAACACAGTATTTTGTTATAGAAGAGGATTATGTCATTTCCAGTGTCTTGAAAATAGTATGGTACCTAATGTGTAGAGACTTAACCGCTCTCACCTTTAACATCCTTCTCCCAGAACATCCAAAGGCCTCGCTTCTCCTGAGGTTGAAGTTCTGGGCGCAGGAAGCGGAACTAGAGTGCAGTGCAATGTTTTCCTTTGGTGTCTCTCTGGCTACCAAAGAGGGTAGTAGCTTTCCTTCTAAATGTATGCTGCTTCTCTCCTGGCTGTACTGTCCATTCACATTCTACCTTCCTCACATGCAGTCATAGATAGTCTTTCTGCCCTCGCTCTCTGAGCGTTCTCTGCCCAGGCCCCTTAGGTTAAGCTTCTAAATAATCGGTCATTCCTCTATCACCAGTCTCTATGACTACTGCCATGTGCCAGTTGATGTATACTTGGTGACTCTTCCCTCTCAACTCAGCATTGAGGGTTGTAAGCTATCCTAACTAGTCTCCCCCTTCTAATCACCTATTAACTATCAGCTGGAATAATACTTTAAAAGCTTAAGTCCTAGTATGTGGTGCTCTAGCTTAACAACCAGGGCCCTTTCAGGTAAAAGCCAATTTTCTTATATGGACTGCCCACCTTTGTACATCTTGCCCCAGCTCTCTCCCACACTCAGTGCTACTTTCCCACTCACTTTGACCTTTGATGTCTTTTACTTTCTCAAATATATAAAATTCTTTCATATGCTGCTCCTTGAGCCTAAAATTCCTACTCATTCATCCTCTAATATACTTCTGGTACCAGCTTAAATGTTACCTTTTTCTCTAACAAAGATATCAGGGAATTTTCCCTTTTAAAGTAGACCTCTTATTATACTCTATTTCAGTCTCTGTTTATTCCCTTCATAAACAACCTTATTGTCATTAATAGCTCTTTCTCCCATGAGGACAAGAACTATGACTGTTTTTTCCAGTGCTTATTACAGCTCCAAGAAAATAGTAGGCACTGTGTATTTTGCAAATAAATGAATAAATTCTAAACAACATGTTTTGTTTCACTTGAGCCTTGCTGTATCACAAAACTGTGAAAAATCTGCAAATTATTTTCTCAGCACTATTGGTTGGGGGAGAGGGGATAAAGAGATTTTCTGTTTCTCAAAACCTTTAAACAGAATCACTTAGAGATTATTTAGACCACTCACCAGTTTCTGTTCTAAGTGAATGACTAGTTTTCATTAAATGATATCCTGCGATTGTATAGAACATTAAAAAATACTTCCCCATTATCCTTGGTTCTGTTTTGCTTTTTCCTTTTCATCCATAGGACAGGCAGGGTGGGACACCGTGTCTGCAACCTATTCTGTTAATAGGTCTCTGCTCACAGCTGTAGTGGGTGGTATAAAGGGCACGATTCCTAACTTACACATGCAGGCTTCTTGGTGGCAGTGGCTTTCTACTAGTCGACACTCCCACTGGAGAGTTAAATAACAGTCTCTCTGAGCCAACTTCACACTGAACTTTGCCATTGGTAAGGTCAACTGGAATTATGTGGCTGTGGGATCAATTAAGAATAGTATTACATTTTACTCAGCTCTGGTCATTTTTATGGAAGTTTCCTTTGTAGCAAAGAGACTGTAAGATTGGCATTTGACAACTGGATCAGTTGACCCCCCACCATGACATCTAGACCATCATGAATTTTTGTCCCCTTCCTAAGCCACCTGGTAAGCTTCTAGGTGTCTCCAGGTTTTCTCTCATTTTACCTACCCCATATTAGTACCCTCAGAGGATGTTGTCCTGGGCACATACCTGACACAGATGAAGAGCTGACACCTCTCAAGTCCCAAAGATAGTGATATTCCAACTAGTATTTGCTCCCTTATTTTAGTTAGATCAGTTATGTTCCTCTGTCACAGTTTTGGCAAATATTTCTAGGACTATGACATAAGGAAACAAAAACTTCAGGTGCTGTATTAGGTGTGCAATATGTGTTTGACTCAATGTGCCAATTAGTATACATTTAATTACATATTAGTATATTTTCTCTCAGCACTACATGGATGTAAGTTAATAAATGAGACAGAATTGAAATATAAGATCTAGTCTCTGTTTCATGGAGCATATACTGTAGTTGAGAAGGAAAAAGTAGCACATCTGAAACCATTGGAGAGCCATCAAGTAAACCACGGGTATTCTTTTCCATGGCTGCAGTAACAGTGCCACAGACCTCATGGCTTACCACACAGCAGTTTATTCTCTCACAACTCTGGATGCCAGGTTTCAAATAAAGGTGTTGGCACGGCTGTGTTCCCTCCTGAGTTCTAGGGAAGAATCTGTTCTGCCTCTAACTTCTGGGTGTTGCCAGCAATACTTGGCTTTCCATGGCTTATAGCTGTATTGTTCTAATTTCTGCTTCATCTTCAGAGTGTCCCCGAACAAAAACTTCCTCTTTTAAAGACACCAGTCACCTGGTCAGGGGCCACCCTAATTCACTGTGCCCTCATCTTAACTTGATTACATCTGCAAAGACCTAATTTCCAAATAAGCTCACAATCACAGATCTGAGGAGTTAGTACTTGAGCATATCTTTTTAGGGACTACATTGAACCATAGTAGGAGGGAGGGTAGCAGTTTAATGCAAGTTATTTAATTTTTTACCGTCTGTAGCTCAGTCACTCTCAGGTGTAAACTGGAGGTAACATTATCACCTTGTGTCTGTTATCCTGATCATGATGATGGCATCACTAGTGTGTGTGTGTGTGTGTGTGTCCAAACTCATAAAATTGTACATATTAAATATTTATAGGATTCTGTGTCTCAATTATATCTCAGTAAAGTTACTACAAATAATATCACCTATATAATAAGATGGACTGAGAGTTAAGTTGATGCATGTAAAAGGCTTTAGAACAGTGTGTGCCACAGAATTAGTGCTCAGTACATGTTAGTTATAATAGTATTATAGCCATAATAACATAAATTATGAAGTGGTGATTATTTGATGCTGATGAGGAGCTGTGGTTATGAAAGAGCAGTAGGGTCTTAGATGTGGAGATACACATTAGGAAGAGGCACATAGCACAGCCTTTTATGACCAATAATTACGAGCTAGTCTGTGAAAGGTAATGCCTGTTAGTCACCTGAAAGCTTCTTTCTTACCTTTTTATCCTTATCACAAAAGGGGAAAGTTTGTAGGATAAGTGATGGGACAGAGCTTGAAAAGACACTTTCCTTAGAAGTGGCACTCTGGAAGATGGTGGTTTAAAGAGAGTCTGGTGGACAGGGTAGGGTAAAGCAGAAAGAGAGACTGAGGCTGAGGGAACCACAGAGATCAAGAAAAGAGCATTGTCTCTGGAGAAACCAGCTCCTTGCAACTCTTTACAGCAGGCCATTTTATAATCCTAGGCTAAATAATTTTCTTTATTTAAACAAACAAAACAAACAAACAAAAAACAATATAAAGAACAAAAATCATTTATATGTCCATAATTATTTTCAAGTGTTACTCATTATATTATAGATCTATTATGTGTGTTATATATATATATTTTTTAATCCTTACCAAAGGATATGTTTTTATGGATTTTAGAGAGAGAGGAAAGGAGAGGGAGGGAGAGAAACCTTGATGTGAATCATTTGCCTCCCCTACAAGTCCTAACCTGGAATCAAACTTGAAACAATTTGGTGTATGGGAAGATACTCCAAACAATTCAGTTACACTGGCCAGGGCTATTATGTATGTTTTGTTTAGGTTTTTAAATTTTCACTCTCCAGAATAAGGGACACTTGATGTATTATATCTAGGATCTTGCCTCTTGGCTGTTTGTACTCCTAGTCCCTAGCCAAGCTTTGGGTGCTTAGCTTTATTTTCTGCTCTCAATTCTGAATCATCAGCTCCAAGGCTTTGGCTTCATTAGCTCAGCTCACATGCTTGTCATTCTAAATCTCATTGTGCTCTTTGGATCAGCTAAACTTAAGCCACTCTTGGTTTGCTGCACAGTGATCCTAGGCAAGTTCTAGCCAGCGTAGGTTTTAGGAAATAGGACACAGTTTCAATAAGCTTTCCCTCCTATCTCCTCCAGGCTTCTCCCTAGGAGGCAGCAGCAAGGTATGGTGGGCTGGGCATCAGGTGTGAATTCAAATTCTGACTCTGCTGCTGACTATTGTATGTATAGCCTTTGGCAAGTTCTTAAAGCTTTCTGAGCTATTTTTTTACTCATAAAGTGGCATATTTACTGAGTTAGTGTAAATAAACGTAGTAATTATTTCAAAGTAGACATTCAAGAACTATTACTTCCCACCCTTGTTAATTTTCCTGTCATTCAGTTCCTTGATGTTGCATCACAGTGTCCCCTGTTGTATTTGGTGCGTACCACCGAAATGTATGTGCCAATTTACATATAATAATAATAAAAGGCAAAGAGGTGTCATGACCAAAACGACTAAATGACTGGTCACCAGGAGGTGCATGAAGTATCTCTCGGCCTGGCGCCCCATGGGGCGCCTCCTCATGGCGGCAAGAGGCGTAGCACCTCCTTGCATGATTTCTCACATTGGGCCTCTAGCCTACACTAATAAAACAGTAAGATGCAAATTGATTGTACCTCTACGACATCCACCAGCCAATCAGGAGTGAGTATGCAAATTAACCCAACAAAGATGGTGGGTTAATTTGCATAGTATAAAAGGCTAAGTGTCCATTCATCCAACTGGTAGCTATGATGTGCACTGACCACCAAGGGGCAGGCACTCAGCACAGGAGCTGCCATGATGCACACTGTCCATTTAAAAATAAATGGCACCCCAGACCTGGCATTGACAAACCAACACTTGGCTTTTCCTTAAGTGGGACACAGGTCTCACCACCACCCTGGAGCAACACCCCATCGAATTGCAGCCAACACTGCCAAGACCCCATGGTGCAAAAAGCGACCCACAGTCCAGCCCAGAAACGGTCACTGTGGGCACCGGGTAATGACGTCACATACCAATGCCCAGCATTTTCTCCCTAGTGAGTAGCATCCTTGGAGTTTCTTCAGTTCAGGAACTCAACTTGCTTTATAGCCAGGTATAAGCATTTTACACTATAACCAAATGTTTATGAAGCATTTTTCTGTGCCTCTTCTTATTTGATCCTCACAGAAGTCTTAGAGTAGGTAAATAGGAGACTCAGTAGAATCCTATTTTCTTTTCATTAGCAAGATGCAAATAGTGATATTAAATAGTTCTTCCAATTAATTTCCTTTCAATGTGCATAAACCCATTCACCAGGACACTAGAACCTTATTACTGAGCAGTGTTACTCTGCAGGACTCTCACTGTCTATGTTTCTTTTCAGATACTCGAGTCAGAGGATGGTTCATGTTGGACTCTTACCTCCCTACCTTTTCTCTTACCGTCATGTATCTGCTCTCCATATGGCTGGGTAACAAATACATGAGAAACAGGCCTGCTCTCTCCCTGAGGAGCATCCTCACCTTGTATAACCTCGGCATCACACTTCTCTCCATGTACATGCTGGCGGAGGTAAGTACCGGGGCAGCTAACTAGACTAATCCCATCACTGGGAGGCATTTAAGAGGCTCTACAGCAGCAGTTCTCAACCTGGATCTATTTATCCTGGTAATCTCGTAATTATCATGATGTTATCTGAAAAGCGCTTTGGTTGGAGGGAAAGAGGTAAGTCAGGATAGTACAGTAAAAACAAGGATTCTAAAATATGAACTAGAGGGCCGGTGTACAGATTCATGCACTGGTGGGGTCCTTCGGCTTGCCTGCAGGGATCTTTTTAATGTTCAGTTCATTAACATCCTGTCCCTCCTGCTCTGTGTATATAGTTTGACAGTTCTCTGCCTTTACACAGTTCTGATAAGCAGCAGAGAGGAGGCTTTTGTATATAATACCTTATGTAAAGGCCTTATATTTTAGAACTTTAACTTTCTTCGGTAATAGTGGAAAGAAGGGAGAAAACCTCTTTTGTAGAATTTTCCACAAAGAATAAAAAAAAACCTTTTTTTTTTTTTTTGTAGAAAGAGCACTAGGTAAGGAATTAAAAGGCCTGAATTCCTACCATTGCTCTGTTTTCTAGTTATGTAATTTTTGAAGAAATCCTTTACTTATGTATTCACTGAGTATTTTTTATGTGGTAGGCATTGAATAGGGGACTGTGAATACAAAAATAAATGAAAAAAGCATAGATTTCATGGAGCTTTTATTTTCAGCTAGGGGAATATAGACATTAATTATAGTCACACAAATGCTTGATTATCACATAATATCTATTAATGAAGAAGTGGCAAAAAAAAACACCCTTCTGAGCCCTGGTTTTCATATCTGTAAAATGATACTAAATGCATACTTCATAAAATGGTTGAGATGATCAATTAAAATAAATATTTATTAAAAAAAGATAAATATTTAAACATCAATCTAGAATATTATTAAAATTATGGTGTAGTTTCCTCACATTTATTTACATTTAATTTTACATTTCATTTGTGGAAATATATGACCAGGTAATTTCTTACACAAAATATTTTGTTACTCAAATGATAGCTAAATTCTGTTTCTTTTTAGGTTTAATTTAAAAAGAAAAAATGTTAGAAGTAAATTACATTAACTTCTGTAAGGACTGTAATCTTTGGTATCAATTCATAGCAAGAATTAAACCATTTGACAATATGTTTTTAAGGATAGTATCTAAAGCAAAGTCAAGTTCTGGGAAGTTTTACTCAAACCTTAAGTAGATGCCAGCTAGGAACATGAATGGGAAATTGTTTTTATCCAAACTCCTGTGTTGATCCCTCCCATTTCTTGTTTCTTTGGCAGCTTATTCTCTCCACTTGGGACGGAGGCTACAACCTTCAGTGTCAGGATCTCGCCAGTGCAGGGGAAGCCGATGTCCGGGTGAGTCCTGAGGAGCAGCTCCGCTACCTGTACCCTTCCTTGTGAAAAGAAAGAAGGTTCCCCCTCATAGCTGTGAGGATGGGGACTTGGGTAGATGCGAAAGGCACTCCTGTTCTAATAGAAATGTTTGGTAGCAAAAACGCTTTTCAAATGGCCAACCGTGGGAGTCAGACTGAACACACTGTGCTCTGCCTGCGTAATGGGCCTCTTTCAGTGTGGAGAGAGTAGGTCTCTGCACTGTCACAGAATCTCCTCCGGGGTATGGCTGGAAGAGAAGCAGCCTGGATAGCTCTTATTTACAGTGTAATAATTTTTGTGTGAGAAATGATATGAATACATGTGTGTATAGCTCATGTTTTTTAAAGAAAACAATGGCAGAATAAACCAAAAGCGAACAAAGTGGTTTCATTTGGGGAAGGGAACAATGAAGAGGGGCCAGGCTAGAAGCTGGACTTCTCTTAATGTGCACTGTATTACATTTGACTTTGGAACACCAGTAAGTGTTTTACATAATTATAAAACAAAAATCTAAAAAAAAAAAAAAAAAAAAGCAGAGCAGCTTCCCAAAAGAAACTTCGAAATAAAATAAATTAATATACCATATATTAAGTTGATGACATAGTCAGCCAAAGAAGAATTATTCTAAGTCACATTAAAATACAGTGTTTTGACGGGGCAGCACTAGTGAGATATATCTTATCAGTATTCAATAATTTTTTATTGCTATTAATAAAAATATTGGTATTGCTTTTTTGAGAGTGTTATAGGTACAGAGTAGGATAAAGTAATTATACAATAATGTTAATATCATTACAACTAATATTAAAACATAAAAGAGAGAGCAGTAAAAAATTTAAATGAAACACCATAATCAAATTGGAACTATCAGAACTAACTTGATTCTTTATAAAACAAACATGTTTTTAGCTTTCTGTAGAATAGGCCTAGTTAGTCTGTGCAGTAGAATGAGCAGAGAATCCCCAGATTGTGTTCTCTTAAGTACTTTTCCACCAGAAGGATAGGTTCTTAGCGAATTAGACAGCTTTTGGTTTGGGTGGGAAATATACATGGGAGAATCCAGGAACTCTCATGGCAGAGAGCCAGGGAATAGCCAAGGCTGCTAGTTGACAAAAGATCCAGGTGCCTCCTGGACAGCACTCCCACTGCTGAATGTGGGCAGTGTGAGTATACAAAGGAACACCGAGTGAAGTGGATTGAAACATATTAAATTTATTTTAGAAACCATGAGCTTAGTCCTAACCGGTTTGGCTCAGTGGATAGAGCATCGGTCTGCAGACTCAAGGATCCCAGGTTCGATTCAGGTCAAGGGCATGTACCTTAGTTGCAGGCACATCCCCAGTAGGGGGGTGTGCAAGAGGCAGCTGATCGATATTTCTCTCTCATTGATGTTTCTAACTCTCTATCCCTCTCCCTTTCTTTCTGTAAAAAAATAAAATAAAATATATTTAAAAAACAAAAAAGAAACCACGAGCTTAAAATGATACTAAAAACCCTTCATTGTTTTTTGAAGGTTGCAAAACTCATTGTCTAAAATAAAAATTAAAGGGAAAGAATCAAACGTTTTCTTGCCTTTCATATGTGCATCTCCAAAGAGGTTTAATTTGGGGGCAAGTCAGATTTCCTATAAGAAGAGCAAAGGCATGAGGAACACGAGAATTGAAATCATCCGTTCGGCACACCTCCTGAAGTCATGGATCTAGGCAGCAGGGATGAGGAAACGATAACACTTGGGTGAAAGTTGAATGGAAAGGATTGGGTTATGCTGTTAACACCTGAACTCACTGTACAGGAGTACCTCTTTGTTGTGGACTTCAGCGGCAGCCAGCTGCTTCAGGATGAAGCTGAACATCTTTTTCCCAGCACCTGGCTGACAGAGACTCATTGAAGTGGACGATGAACACAAACTCAGAAAGAAGCGTATGGCCACAGAAGTTGCTGCTGACACTGGATGAAGATTGGAGGGCTATGTGGTTTGAATTAGTGGTGGGAATGAAAAAACAAGGTTTCCCCACTAACCAGGTGTCTATTGGCCATGGCTGCTGGCTACTGAACTGTTATAGATCAAGAACTGGAGAGACGAGAGAGAGAGAGAGAGAGAGAGAGAGAGAGAGAGAGAGAGAGAGAGAGAGAGAGAGAGCGCGAGCGAGCGTGTACAGATCTGTTTGGGTGTCAATCTGAGTTCTCAACCTGGTCATCATAAAATATGACCAAGAGAAATATTCCTGGAGAAAGATTTATTCTGGTTGTTCTGATACTCTTCTGAGGCCCAAAAGAGCTAGCAGAATCTGCAGACTTTTCAGTCTCTCTGAGGAAGATGACGTCCACCAATATGTTGTGAGAAAGAAGATTAAAAATCTCAGACCAAAGCACCCGAGATTCAGTGTCCTGTTACTCCATGTGCCCTTCATCACAAACAATGTGCTAAGAAAAATAAGAAAGTCTGCAAAGTATGCTAAAATTCTGCCCGAGAGTGAAGGAGGTCAAAGGAAAACTCCAGGAACAGATTGCCAATAGACATGGACTGCCTTCTCTGAGAGCTTCTACCTCTAAGGCAGAGTTCAGACAAAAATGGGATTTTCTAAGAGTAATAAATAAAAACAAACTTTTTTAAAAAAGAGAAAAAAAGGATATTGTGTCCCTCTTGATCTAATAGGAAGTTAACAGAACAACTTACGAATTTCGTGAGATAGATTTGCACATGGACAAGGCTGTTAGAAGATAATAAGGAAATACTAATTTTATTATATCATGTCACTGTGGTTATGTGCAAAAAAACCCCTCACTATTAGTTTTTATAGATAAAATAATACTTTGGATTTTCTTATATGCTACACACACATACACACACACACAAAGTGGTGGGAAATAGAATTGATTCAACAAATTTGAAATCATATTGAAAATTTTTGAAATTCAGTGATAGATGCCATGAATTTTATTATACTTGTTCTCCTTGCACTTCTGAATGCTTAAAAATTTTCATAATATAAAACGGTTATTAGCCGGGACCGGTTTGGCTCAATGAATAGAGCGTCGGCTTGGGGACCGAAGGGTCCCGGGTTCGATTCCGGTCAAGGTCATGTACCTTGGTTGCGGGGACATCTCCAGTAGGGGGTGTGCAAGAGGCAGCTGATCAATGACTCTCTCTCATCGATCAGCTGCCTGCGATGTTTCTAACTCTCTATCTCTCTCCCTTCCTCTCTGTACAAAATCAATAAAATATATTTTTTTAAAAACGGTTATTAATAAGAGAGGTGGTGGAAGTCCTTTCAATTAAAATATGTACATTTTTAAAGCATCTTCAAAGCAAAAAAGAAAGCTATATCGATATCTCTACACCCATTTTATTTCTGATATCTCTTCATAGACCAGTACACTTTGGGATACCTTACAGTCCTCCAAAGGTCATTGTTGCATCTATGTCTTGTATGTATTTATGGTTTAATTTTTTTGGATTAATATTTTGAAGATTTATTGTTACCTAAACATTAAGAAGCCACCACATCATATCTTCTTGAAAATAGACAGCATGTATGCTAACTTCAAAGTTCCTGTTACTTACGTAGTGTCTCCTCTCATGTTGACATGTGAGCGCTGAGAGAGGGAAGGGAAGTGGTGCTCACGACCTACTGCCAGTGAGGAAGAAAAGCATCTTGATTTTGAATCTTTTATTTTAAGGAAGAGGCATGGAAGAAGTCTCAGACTGCTCCTGGGTAATATAATTTTAGGAGACACACATGTATGTTAGAGGAATAGATTACAAGTGAAATCTAGTGTAACCAACAGTAGTGATCTGTTGAGTGTGAGGCCCAGAACAAAGGTGAGACAGTCTGTCTTCACATGATTTGCATTCTTTTGAGAAAGGTAGATTCATAACACTGACTACACTCTATGTAGTTATTAAAAGAAGCATAAAATAATTTGGGAATATAAATGAAGAAGCAGTTGGTTCAGCCTGAGAAAGGGCAGAGCTCCAGAGAAGGGTGTGCACTGGTTCTGTAGTAAGAGGAGAAGCTTGATCAGACACGTATTTTGAAAGATGATACTAGAGTAGGTTGGAATGCTGAGAATAAGGAAAAACTGAGGCAGAGACACCAGGCAGATGCTCTTTTGCTAGTCTGACAGAAATGCATGCAGTGGGGTGCCGGACACAGGATGCTGAGTGGGAGGGCAGCTTGGGGCATGTTTTCATTGCTCACCTTTTATTTTTTCCATTTTACATTTTTTATAGGTAGCCAAGGTGTTGTGGTGGTACTACTTTTCCAAATTAATAGAGTTCCTGGACACGATTTTCTTTGTTTTGCGGAAAAAAACCAGTCAGATTACTTTTCTTCATGTATATCATCATGCCTCTATGTTTAACATCTGGTGGTGTGTTTTAAACTGGATACCTTGTGGGCAAAGTAAGTGATTTTGTTAACTTTTTCAGTTCTATGTAATGGATCGTACAAGGCCTCTAGTGTGTCTCTTATGTTGAGCATCGCATGCAGAAGATAAATAAAAATTTACAAAGTCCAAGTAGCATATCCAAGAGAACTTAGCTAAGAGAGGTTTGTGTAGCGACACAGTATCTTTAAATAAGATTGATGGCTCGCATACCAGCCCTCTGGACCCCAAACTCACACACAGAACAGAACCCAGCCCAAAGTGAACACTAGTAAGCACTGTAAACATATTGATTAAGTTAAGCCTTATAATAGTGAGCTCCCTATTTCCAACAAATAATCCTTCCGCCATCTTCCCTCTCACAGCTACATCTTTTCGACCCCTAGTTGACCAACATAGAACTTGGTGCTTTCCCCTTGGTGTCCTGAAACACCGTTCACCACGCGGGGGGCAGTGTAGGAGGATGCGTGAAGATTGCGGCAGGACTGGGAGAGCTTCCGCACAGCCAGCACGGCAGATGTCCTGAAATCTGATTTTACAGTCTTGTCCTTTAGTCCATGAGTTGGCCCATCTCCTTAGTCCCAGCCTTTCCTCATCCTGCTGGCTCTTCTTTCCCCCCACATTTGCTCCCCTTCCCCACCATCTCCTGGTTCTTAAGTTTCTTTCAAGTAGATTTTATTTACTTAATTATGAAGACCAACATATTTCCCTTGATTCTTGAGTAGCCTCTTCAGCCATGTCCTGAGAGCTCTCTTTCTTTTCTTTTTTATCCTTACCCGGGGATATTTTTTCCATTGATTTTTTTTTTTTTTTTTTTTTAAGAGAGAGGGAGGGAGGGAGGCAGGGAGGGAGGGAAACATTTATCGATGTGAGACACATGGATTGGTTGCCTCCCTTGCCTCCCACAAGTGCCCCTGACCAGGGCCAGGGACGGAGCCTGCAACCAAGGTATGTACCCTTGACCAGAAATTGAACCTGCTGACGTTTCAGTCTTAGGGCCAAACTGGCCAGGGCTGAAGGCTCTCTTTCTATAGCCAGAATGGCTCATCTAAGATTTAGCTAAAGCAGATACTTCTGTCATTGGCTTTAAGCTAACTTTTTCCCCCTCCATGATTAGCTGACAGTAAAACCTTTCTCTTTAACAATAAAGCCTTTGCACAGCAAGAATTACTGGTTTGGTTTAGTCCTGTTAGGTGACTTGCTGAATCCTGGAGTGATGGCACAGTAATCAGGGAGTTTATGAGTGTGAACTGTTAGTGTCATATTGTTATTCATCTTCATGATGAGCAGGAAGGATCTCACTTGACAAAGAATGAACAATCTTACTTTCTAAAAGAGCAGTAATTCCTGTGTGTTACTTTCATAGGTTTCTTTGGACCCACTCTGAACAGTTTTATCCACATTCTTATGTACTCCTACTACGGGCTGTCCGTGTTTCCGTCGATGCACAAGTATCTGTGGTGGAAGAAATACCTCACCCAGGCTCAGCTGGTATGTCCTCCCTCCCTTCAGCTCTTCTCCCGGTGAAGTTCCTAAATATCCACACGTGTTGGGAAAGGTCACAGCAAACCCAGACTTCCTAGAAGTCAGAGGCTTTGCCACATGTGACAAAAACGCCCATTTTCTCTAACGACACTATGATGAAGGAAATCTTGCATGCTAAAAACATCCTTTGTGTGTGTAACTAGCTTATTTCTTGCTTTGGAATATAGACAGTTCTTTTTATTTTATTTTTTTATTTTTTTTTAATATATTTTATTGATTTTGTACAGAGAGGAAGGGAGAGAGATAGAGAGTTAGAAACATCGATGAGAGAGAGTCATCGATCAGCTGCCTCTTGCACACCCCCTATTGGGGATGTGCCTGCAACCAAGGTACATGCCCTTGACCGGATCGAACCCGGGACCTTTCAGTCCCCAAGCCGACGCTCTATCCATTGAGCCAAACCGGTCCCGGCTAGACAGTTCTTTTTAAATTAATGTCATTATTAAATCATTTCAACTGCTACTTTTCCATGAGAAAAGTAGTGAGCAATTAAGTGAGCAATTATAGTTGCTTACTAATAAAATTTCTGGATAGGATAGCCTGCTTTAGCACTTTTTTGCTTTCTTCTTATACAATTTAAGGAATCAAAGTAGTTGATCTCTAGATGTGCAAAACTCGGCAGTGGTCCCGTGGCTCGGCTGGTCCCTCACCCTGTGCCCTTCCCGCCTGCCTTCCAGGTGCAGTTCGTGCTCACCATCACCCACACCTTGAGTGCCGTTGTGAAACCCTGCGGCTTCCCCTTCGGGTGTCTGATCTTCCAGTCTTCCTACATGCTCACCTTAGTCATCCTCTTCCTAAACTTCTACTTCCAGGTAAGTTACGTGTAAGCGTTCAGTGGTAAAACGTAAGAGACTGCGCTTCTCCATTACATATGTGTTTAGTTTTCTTGATTAAATATCACAGTAGCACATGTTTGTTGATAAATTCAAATAACAGAGATGCACAAAATAAAAATGGAACCTTCATCCCTAACTCCTCTCTCAGCGAAGGAAGTCCTCCTCAGAGGATAACTTATCCAGTGTCAGTTGAGTGGGCATTCTGCTAGACATTTTCAATGTATACATATAGTTTTATTAAATAGTATGCATTTGTATCATACATTTGCACTTGTCTACCAAAGCTGAAGTCAAAAAGTTAAACATTGTGTACAGTAAGACGGATCCAGGAAATGTATGTGAATGAAGAAAAACATGGGCTACATGTACCCTGTTTCCCCGAAAATAAGACAGTGTCTTATATTAATTTTTTCTTCCAAAGTTGCGCTAGGTCTTATTTTCAGGGGATGTCTTATCTTTCCATGTGCTAGGTCTTATTTTCGGAGGATGTCTTATTTTCGGGGAAATACGGTATTTAATATTAAAAATTATTTTCATAATACCAGCTACTGTGATGGTGTAGACTCACTGTTTCCTTGGAAAACATTATTTTAAGGCAAATGAGTATGCAAAGGTCACATTGACTTTTTCTTGAGTGTAATTTTAGAGGGAGGGAGAGGAAAGAAGAGAGGGAGAGAGAGAGAGAGAGAGAGAGAGAGAGAGAGAGAGAGAGAGAGAGAGAGAGAGAGAGAAGCATTGATATAAAGCGAAACATCGATTGGTTGCTTTTGGGCACTTCCCAACCGGGACAGTCCCGCAACCTATGTGACCTGACCAGGAATAGAACCGATAACTTTACACAGAACTGTCACCTGGTGCACAGATGACGCTCCATCCAACTGAGCTACCCCGCCAGGACAGGTGTTATTTTCTTTTTAATTAACAATTTAAAGGGAGGAGAGCTTCAAAATGCAATTTCAAAGCAACTTTGTGATATAAGAACTGATAAAGTGGTAACCACACAGGCCTCAGGTGGTTGTAGGTTTATTTTATTTTTTAAATATATTTTTATTTATTTCAGAGAGGAAGGGAAAGGGAGAGATAGAAGCATCAATGATGAGAAAAAATCATTGTTTGGCTGCCTCCTGCATGCCCTGTACTGGGGATTGAGCTCACTATCCAGGCAAGTGCCCTGACCAGGAATCCAACTGTGACGGCCTGATTTATATGTCCACACTCAACCACTTAGACGCACTGGCTGAGCTGGTTTAGGTTTAAATTGCTCTCCTCTGTGGGCTGGAGAAATAGAAAACTTCATGAAAAAAAAAAAAAAGAGGATATTTATGTTCAAAATAGTACTTTTGAAAATGTATTCGGCTGTATTTTCTTCTTCTTTAGACATACAATTGCTTTCTGAGTTTTTAGTTTCCATTTGCTGAAAGTCAACCCGTAGTATTTTATACAAAGTCCAACTGTGGGAACTGAACTTTGGACAGTTTTTCAGCTCTTTGTTTCTGAAAGTAGACTGGCTAGGCTTTGTCTGTTGTAAGAGATAAAAGTTTCCTTTGAGAATTTCTAAAGAAATAGCCATTGATAGAACCAAACAAAGCCATGGGGGTGGGGTGGGGTGGGGTGGGGTCGGGTCAAGTCAAGTCAGGTCGGATTGGGTGGGGTAAGGGGGCTGAATGTTGAAGGATAGCTAAGGGAGTCATTTTGGTGTTGAAACTTGAAGAGAAACACATAGCCCAGCAAGGATTGCCAATGGCACTCAGAGCTTTAACTACTTGATTCAATTGAATCTTAGTCTTTTAAAGTTGAGTATATTTTCTTAGTCTTAACCCTTAATACTATTGTTTTAAAAAATAAAAAAGATAAAAATGAGATGGGATTAGATATTTTGTCAGAAGAGCAAAGATATGCCAAAACCCAAATCAAGCAAAGCCCCAGGTACTAGTACAGCACATTTTCACTTGAATTTTTGTTTATGTCCTTAAGTCCTGGGGATGTAATGTTGTGCATGGTGACTATAATTAATAATACTGTGTTTCATATTTGTAAGTTGCTAAGATAGTAGATCTTAAAAGCTCTCATCACAGGCCCTGGCCGGTGTTGCTCAATGATTAGAATGTCAGCCTGAGCACCAAAAGGTCTTGGGTTCAATTCCTGGTCACAGGCACGTACCTCAGTTGCAGTTTCGATCAGGGTCTTGCAAGAGACAACTAGTCAATGTGTCTCTCTTATCTCTCCCTTTCTCCCTTCCTCCATCTCCCTCCATCCCTCCCTCTCTCTCTCCCTCCCTCCTTCCCCCCTTCTTTCCCCCACTTCACCCTTCATCCCTCCCTTCCACTTTCTCTAAAAAGCAATGGAAAAAATATCCTCAGGTGAGGATCAAAAATAGGATATGTTCTCATCACAAGAAAAAAGTTGTGTGGTGATAGATGTGAACTAGACTTATTGTGGCGATAATTTCACAATATAAACAAATATTGAATTACGTAGCTCTATAAACTAAGACAATGTATGTCAGTTATTCCTCAATTAAATATATATATGCTTTCCATGTAAGCAACTAATGCAGAATAAATTAAATGCTAATCCCATAATACATAAGTACTATGCTCATAAGGTGAAAGAAACAACCTTTCATTAGAATTCATACATATGTCCTGTTTTCACCCTATTTTTATTTTTAATCAAAAGCTTTTTAAAAAAATAATTGATAGCCTTATTTTTAGTAGTCTTAGGTTTACAGTACTGAGCAGGTAGTACGGAATTCCCATGTACCCCCTCACCCCATCAGTTCCTCCCATTAGCATTTAGTATTGTGTTGCATTTGTTACAAATGATGAGCCAATATCGACACATTACTAACTGTAGTCCAGGGTTTACATTTCCCTCTTTGTGCTTTACATTCTATGGATTTTGACAAATGCATAAAGTCATTTCATGCAGAATATAAGCCTCTGCTTTTCACAGCTTCGCTACAGTCCCCACATTTGGTCTGGGGCCCTTTCCTACGGCTGCAGCGCCTTCACCTGCTGCTCCTGCTCCCAGGCAGGCTGTCTGGGCTGCCCATGCCCAGGGACGCTCAGCACTCCTGAGCTGTCACTACCTTATGTTCCCACCACTGTAGATCCAGAAGCTTTAAAACTGTCACGTTAAAACAAGAATTCTTACTACTAGTACAAAGTCCAGTACCCAAGAAAATCATACTATTTTAGACTATACGCCACTTTTGAGACCTCTTATTATAGAATCTTTTTCTTTTTTCTCTTCAAAATGTACACCTCCTACAGACATACCGAAAAAAGCCAATGAAGAAAGAGACGGAAGAGTTACCAGCAGGGAAAGAAGTTAAGAATGGTTTCTCCAAAGCCTACTTCACTGCAGCTAACGGGGTGCTGAACAAGAAGGCACAGTAATATCGAGCAGCAGACAGCATATATAATGGCCTAACAGATTCGCTTGCTCTTGGGCAAGGACTGAATTGAAAGTTATATATGCTTTAGCATACACTAACTTCTTTGAGTTTATAAATCATTTGTACCAGAATGTATTAATATCTTGCTATGAGGTTAATCGGTTAATTGAGTGCTTCTGTCAGCATTGAGGTGAACTCTGCAGCCCTCCCACTGGTGCCTCTCCCCCACCACACACACCTGCCCCTCACAGGAGCTCTTCCCGCTGCCTCACACACAGCCAGGGAGCAGGGCACTGTCTGTCACAGTAGTCTTCAGATAAAAAGTTAACAATTTGTCCTCATGAAAATGTTTAAAAGAAAATGTTAGTTACCTCCCAGGTACAGGGTGTGTTCTAACCTACACGGAGAAATAATTGTCAGTGCATAAAGGAATTAGTCCCTCTGTTCCTTTAGGGATCAACCCCCAGAAGATGTTAAAAGAGGATTATAAATGGAGAAGCTAACAAAACTTTAAGGTGGATCTGTCAAATTCCCACAACCACTCCTAACTTTCAACACAGTGATATGGTGATGAAACCTGAGAAAAAATCCTCTGCCAAATCCTCGTAGCTCAGGGGCTTTGAATAGTTGTTCCTCAGTTTTAATTTGGTTTCCTTGATTATTCATGTCTACCTCTCATGCTAAGTTGCCTCGGTTAGGATACAGACAGACACAGTGCTCAGAGTTCCAAAGCTGATCTAAACCTGGCAGCCTGTTGCTTTCTGAACAAGGACTCGCATCCAGTCTGCCCTTTTCCTTAGAAGGATTCGCCTCTGGGACATTTATAAATCAGAACTCACAGAGCTTTGGGGGGAAGACATTGAACCCTTTGTGAATATTGTTCCTTATTACCTGCTATCAGTCTTATGCAGGTTAAATTTTTGAAAAAGGTAACTAAAAATTGGAGGATGAGAGAAAGATTTCAACACTGAGCCATGGACTGGTAAAGAGCCAGGCCAAAAAGTGCCGATTTGGCAAACTCAGCCCTCCTTTCCCAGTTCTGTCATACAATCTGGACCAAGAATCCGGCACAAAAGCACAGAAGTCATTACTGGACAGTTCCGTCCTGCTCCATGTGCGGGACAGGTGCTCACTGTCACGTTGTACCAAGAGCAGAAACGGGATGTTTTCTGAAGATCTGATGAAGATTCATACCCTGTGAAGTGTTATTATCCCCTGCACCTTCTTTTTGAGATGTTTTAGGTCATAACGTTGACATCCAATGCTTAAGTGCCAGGAAGGCATTGTCTCCATTGCCCCAGCACACTCCAGTCTGTCTGGGAGTGCCTGGCTGCCCTTTTTGGCCTTTTTTTTTTTTTTTCCCCTGAGCTCTAGTTTTTAAATTATTTTTCCTGTTTAAAAAATAAAAACACAACTTTTGTACTGACACTGTACCCTGACATCGTACTGACTTTTTTATCTTCTCTTTCATGTAAACTACCCACTTAGGATTCTGGCCCATGGTGGTCAGGGACTGAGCGAGACTAGTGTCCCTGGGAAAGGGTTGGACCTAACATTCCCTTCTCTACTTGTTGACCCATTTCTGTTGAACAGACATCTCTGGCTGACGCCCACCTGTCTTGGACTTCTTTCTCTAAGAAGTTTTCTAGTAATGACTTGCTCCAGGGTGCTTACTCCCACTCCCATCACAGTATAACTGTGTGTTAAGACTGTTCTCTCCCAGAGACTCATTTTAAAACAAGGGCTAACTTCGAGTATGACTGTCACTGCTCCTCTCTGACCAGCCCAAGTTGGACCAAGGAGAAAGCCCTTGTGCAACTGGACTCAAGTTGTTTTAGGTCTCAGACGTGGCTAAAATCTGTTCTCAAAGTAGTTCCAGGTAAAGATGAGATCCCAAGAGAAGGCAGATATGCTGGTCGTTCACTCATTCAGCTTATTATTCTACCATAGCTGCAGTTCTGGGTGCTCTGACCCGCAGAGCAAGGAGGCAGCGCCGTTCCACCGAGACACAGCCAAGGCGCTCCCTGGGCAGAGCGCGGGACCCTCTCAGATCAAAGGGAGAGCTTGGGTAGTTGATCCTTTCAAGCTCAGTTTAGTTGGAGGTTTCAGGATGCTTATTCCCCATTGGTCTTTAGTCCTAGAAAAGCTTGATAAAAACTTATAGCCTTAAACCACTCAAGGGCCAGTTAAATTATACAGAGCTATGAATTCTTAGCCACAAAAATTGAGTCATTGTGTTGCAACTTTAAAAAAAACACAATGTTTATTTTTAATGTGATTTTCCTAAACACAAAACTATTTTTAAAAATCTATGTAATCTGTTTAAAAAAATGGAAAACTGTTTTTCCTAAATGAATTTCCTCTTCTAGGAATGAAAACACTTCTAAGCATATCTGCTAATTCACCCAATTTTTAAACTAACAGAATAAAACATTTACTTAATGGAATTAAAAATATAAATTTTCTATCCTTCAAAATTATATATTGTGTTACTTGTCATATTGGGGGTAAAGCCTCCCACTCCCATGTGAAAGGCATTGCTTATTTTTATTTTAAGGCAGAATGGCCTACACTGCGCTGGGCAGAGCAGCACCTTGTAAGGACCATCTGGTTCTCTAATATTTCCATGTCATTTCATGATGTTTTGGGGGGCTTCCTTATTTGAGAAATAAGACTCTTTTTTGTTTATAATCTCTTTGTTGTTTTCTTTTAAAGGTACTTATATCGTAAGAACATAGTATCATGATTGGGGTGTCCAAGGAGGCAGGAGAAGCCATTTTTCTTTGTAGATAGATAAAAAGCATTCTGTATGATTGTTGTATAATAAATTGATTTTTACACTAAAGTAAGCATATTGTGATTTTTTTTTTACCTGGTTAAAATGTGTGTTTGCATGGGATTCCAAATGACCTATTATTCAGGATTTTTTAAACAATAAAGTAATATTTTAGCAATTCATTTTAGGCATTTAATTTCTCTTTCATTACAGTAAGCAGTGAGCTTTTCTTTATGTGACATTACTGCCTTTATATAGTATTCATATATCAAGTTAAACTATTTCAGAAACTAGTCATTCACAAGAAAAATCTAAAGCCAGTTAGATAAGCAGAGGATATAAAGGTATAACAAACATTCCACTATGCAGAATAACCTGAAAGGAGCACTGGGGGGGCTAAGGAGACCATATTAGGCACAGACAGCACTGTATGATGCTGGATCCCAGGGCTGGAGCCTCGTCAGGCAGCTCAGGAGTGGGCATGAGCTGAGACTTGACCATGGTGGAGCTTGGGAGAGACTGAAGTCAAGGTTGTGGACAGGATCACAGATTGGCGGTGTCAATGCAGAGAGTAGAGTTTTCAATGTGATGTTAAGGAGAACAAGACATGCGTCCAAAAATAGCTATAAAAGATGTGTTCAAAGTCTGCTTATGAAGCTGGTTAAATTCCTGGAGTGTAGCTGGGGTGGGCAGGATATGTTAAGGAAAGGCAGGCGGGAAGAGAGAGTGGATGATGGCACCAAAGAGGGAAACTTCATGCTAAACGATCTGAATGGCAGCTAGGGTATGGGAGTCAAGAGTGGACATTTTCGCCAAAACCGGTTTCGCTCAAAGGATAGAGCGTCAGCCAGAGGACTGGAAGGTCCTGGTTTCGATTCCAGTTAAGGGCATGTACATTGATTGTAGGCACATCCCTGGTAGGGGATGTGCAGGAGGCAGCCAGTCAATGGATGTTTCTTGCTATCTACCCCTCTCCCTTCCTCTCTGTGAAAAATCAATAAAATAAAATAAAAAATAAAAAGAAGAGTGGATATTTTCAAGAGCCTTAACCTAAAGGGCTTTCACTATTTTTTAATTGGGGAGGGAGAAAGAGAGAAAAACATTGTTCCCCTTTATGTATGCATTGGTTGCTTCTCGTATGTGCCCCGACCAGAAATCGAACCTGCAACCTTGGTGTATTGGGATGACACTCCAACCATCTGAGCCACCCAGCCAGGGAAGGCTTTCGTTATTTTAAACAAGGTGGAACCAAGTCATTGGAACTTTGTGCTTAAGAATAAAAGATAAAGTCTGTGTCTCAATGGTAAGGCCTAATAGCCATCATTGCAAATTAAAAGCTGTTTATACATGATAAATGTTCATCTAAGGAAGTTTCATAGTTTCTTTATGTAAAGAAAAATTTAGTATGTGTTTTTCAGCAGGCATTCTTCAAAATCAAGTTAAATACATTTGTGTATTTAAGGAAGATTTCCACTCCAGGGCACACAAAGAAAAAAAAAAAATCACTCTTCCAAGACTAATTACAGTCCCCTAAGGCCCAAGATATCCCTTGACCTTCAGTGAACATGACTCAGTCATGGAGGGGGAAAAAGCTGTTGATTTGTATGTCAATTTTCTGTCTTAAGAAACTGTGCTGAGGGAACATTGGAGTGATACCAGGAGGACAAGTAAATCTAAAACCCATGCGCTCACTGAGCCGTTTGTACTAGGTGTCTGGTTAATAACAGCAGGTTTTGTAATCAAAGAAAACAGGATAATTTCAAGAGAAACATCAAAAGTGCTTTACCAGCATTAGTAAATAAGAAAACTTCATTGAATCTACCTTGTCTAGTGCTGTATATTACACTAGGGAACAGAAGTGACCCAGATGAACTATCTGCCCTTAAAGTCATACCTGGTAAAGTAGATGGAGAAACATCCTATATAATAAAGGCTAATATGCAAATTGGCCAAACAGCAGAACGACCAGTCACTATGATGCACACTGACCACCAGGGAGCAGATGGTTGGTGCAGGAGTTGCCCCCTGGTGGTCAGTGGGCTCCCACAGGGGAAGCACCACTCAGCCAGCAGCCAGGCTCATGGGTGGCGAGTGCAGCAGTGGAGCCTCTCCTGCCGCCACAGCAACAGTAAGGACATCCGACTGACAGCTTAGGCCCACTACCTGCAGGGAGTGGGCCTAAGCTGTCAGTCAGACATCCCCCAAGGGCTCCAGGACTATGAGAG